GGTCACATGACAAAATTGTGTCTATGAGCTGATAGACAAAACACTTTCAGCCAATCAGAAGACGCGTTACATCCAAAAATAGATTATTTATATTTAAAACAGCTTTTAGAAAAAATAGAAATTTCTAAGCTATATAACTATTTTCATATCGCTGGTTTTGAACGCCACTGTATATACCATAGTGTAAGAAAGGAGCTGAACGCTTATGCATGATCATTCTACTGTTTGTCAAACGGGTGTCAGCATTTGCTTAAAAAAACAGTGGAAGAATTTTTTTAATTTTATTTCCAAACATGTAACTATTATATAACATTAAGTGTCTGCTTCAAGGTCTGATATCTAAAACATTCTACACGTTTTCATAAGACAAACAAATGAAGTCTATATCCATACAATAGGCTCTCTTGGAATGGCTGTTCTCGGCGTAACCACATCATTGTTGTCAAAACTAAGTTTTTAGAGCGACAACAACCCAGTTTTAAACGAGATGTGTCAGAACGCTCGCAAAAAAGTTTAAAGCCATTTTAGGAGTGGAAATTTGAGAATGAAAATCTGTATCACTGTTATTTTCAAAGCCCAAGTAAAGTTGTAACGGTGTGTCTACATCCGCTTTGATATAGTATCTATAGATATACAAAGTTGACAACAAATAGTGTATCGGATGCATGAAGTAAAGATATGAAAATAAAATGTTCAGTATTTAATTTACCTCGAAATGGTCGTCTAGAATATGAATATTTCAGAATTGTAAAGACGATAGCCACATAAAAACACGTATTCCTCATCTTCCAAAATAAATCACATGAATCCACCAAAAAAAAAAAAGAATTTATCAGCTTTCTTCACTATAAATGCCGTCGAGTTGTAATTGTTTTCTCGTAAATGACGTCTGAATTTGTCAGAATATCCAGGGGAGAATTCATAAAATGAATATTATATTACAGAAATTTGTTTTGACGATTATATACTAAAACAAGGTTAAGTTTCATAAATATTTCGCTAAATGACATTTGTTAAACGACACTGACCTTTCTGATATCGTTCAAGTATTGCTTATATTGGCCATTTCATACCTCGTTAGTATTTGTTTCAAAATACCCATAATTGTAAAATGCAATTATCTTTTTGCAAATATGAAAAGTTCATTTTTAAATGTCGTCGAAATACTTCTGTAGGTGTATATAGCGCGAAAAAAAAACTAGTATCCAGATGTCTCTTCTAATACCATATTTTATATGTTAGGTACATAAGATAAAGTGTCCGGCAAGATGTCAACACTGCCTTAAAAGGGTAATTAAGCGTTTTTATGGCAAACTGTACGTCACACCGAGTAAACACGAAACGCTCTGATTTGAAAATTTGAAAACATCTTTCGCCAACACCATTGTTTCATAAAACAAAAACAGTAAGATGTTAAGGGAACGACCATTTAACTTAAAAAAAGGGGGGTGTCCTAAAAAAAATATTCTGATCCCCAATTTGATGAATAGAAATACTGTGGTCAAGCAGATGAAAAAAAAAATATTCTGAATCCAGATTTACCCATACATTAAAGCGTTAAATTAAAAAAAAATAATTTGATTGATAGCGTCGAAAAACATACAAAAAATGTTCGCGCTTTGGGCAAAAAAAAATCGGACTCTATACCCCCTCCCCCTCCCTCCTTTGAAGTTAAATGGTTGCTCCCCTAATTTATTGTGTGGTATTAAAAATTGGCTAATCTTGCTTGTTGTCTTTAAAGAAAATGTTCAACTGACAAAATGACATGGTTTATATCATTTGACAGATCCATTGGCTGAAATCGTACAATTTCCGTGACGTTTAGTTAAAACTACCTGTCTAATTTCTTTAAGTTGGAAATGTGGTATGTATACACATATCTTGTAGCGTATCATAGACTTCCAGATGTCTTTGTCGACAGTTCTGTTGTTAGGTTGCTGTCTCATTGGTTACCTCTCATCATCTTTTGTTGATAATGACTTATAGCCGGTTTAAAATGCTTTTTGAATACAAGTTAAATTAAAACATAACTAAATTTGTATTTTCTTTTCAAACGGGATGTATAGAGACACACACACGTTCATTTTTATCTATAAAGAAGTCACTCCTAACCATCCTACTACCTGTCGATACATTTATTTTTGGCATTACACAAGTCATGTCTTCTTTGACTGTTCATGACGTTAAAATACTAAATCCCTGGGATGTATTTTAGTTGACTTTAGTCTCTGATGCATGATTTTTTATTATTAATTGTTTTGGCTTTTAACTAGCTGTCAGTAACTGCGAGTACTCTCAAATCGTACTTTCTTTTTAATTTGACCTGTTGATACTATTTGTAATGCATTTTTGTTATTTAATGTTAACACGGATCTTGTCTATATACCAGCTTTGGTTATTTGGTATTTAATTACTACAAATTTTCACTTCTTCGTACTATGAACATCAAAATTATTTCATGTTTCCTTAGATGCTGTTCTTAGACCTGTACAGGAAGTTTTATCTAGCACTAATTGTATATTTTTATTGTTGATATTCACCCCATATGTACCAAGTGTTAGATTAGTTTTATTAATATTAAAGAAATTTCTTGGTATTCCTAAACGGAAGATTTTATACACACAGAAGAAGAAGTATACTTAACAACAAAATTATTTTCATTAACCTGTGTATAATATGACGCAGGATTCTTTAAAAGTGATGATTTTCTATAAATTGTTTGAAATTTCACAGTGATATCATACCGACCGTGCAAGGGCTGTATAGCCAGTCAAGGTCGTTAAAAACTTCCATTTGTTGTGATATCATACTTTAACTTTGTTTAAACCTGTTTATTTACTTTTGACTTTAATTATTTATCCCTTGTAATTTTTTATTAACTGTGTATTTGCATTCAGGTGTCACTGGTCAAGTTTATTCGTTCATTGTGTGTTAATTTACGTTTTTTAATTGAGTTAAGCCTTCCAATTGATATTTTATAGTGTGTTTTTCTATGTTGTGATGTTATACTATTGTTTCAGAAAAGGGAGAAGGTTTGGTACCATTAAAACGTTTAATCCCGCTGCAAATGTTTGCACCTGTCCTAAGTCAGGAATCTGATTACAGTAGTTGTCGTCTGTTTATGTAGTTCATACGTGTTTCTCGTTTCTCGTTTTTATATAGATTAGACTGTTGGTTTTTCCGTTTGAATGGTTTTACACTAGTAATGTTTTGGGACCCTTTATAGCTTGCTGTTCGGTGTGAGCCAATGCTCCGTGTTGAAGGCCGTACCTTGACCTATAATGGTTTACTTTTATAAATTTTAACTTGGATGGAGAGTTGTCTCATTGGCACTCATACCACATCTTCCTATATCTATATAATGACTGTATCCGATATTTTTATTTCGTAGAAAGTAGAATACGAAAAGTTTATTATACGTGTAATAAAACCAGTTGAGTAAACGCGTTCAACTCTATAATATCGATCAAGTTACAGCAAAAACACATGTACAATCTGAATAATGTTTTATCTTGTGGGTCAGTCTTTAGATTTTTATGTTGTGTTTTGTATACTGTTGTTTGTCTTTCGGTCGTTGTCAGTTTATTTTCAACAGTTATGAGTTTGCATGTCCCTATGTTAATTTTTGTATATCATGCCCGATTTTAAATTTTGTATATTTCGCCTCTCTTTATCAAAGAATGCTATAACTGAAGGCAAATGCAAGGTACTTCATCTGCTGATAGGAATCATGAAATCTTCATCTATAGAGTCCTCTTAAACTCCGAGTAGATTTCATACATGCACTTCAAGCTGGTGAACAGCGCAGAAAAGCCGTGAAGAAGTTCACTTTAAATGGTTAAATTATATGTTCTATGTTGTTATTTATGAGGGGTGGATGGGGGTCCTTCATTTCTGCATTCTTTAATTTTTTTAGGGCATTTTTCTGTATTCTTTTTGTCCATTATTTGCTATTCTTTATATTAAGGCACGTCATTATTCTCTATTTTTTTATTTTTTGGGTCTTTTTTTTGTATATTCTTTCTACTTTTACCCATTCTTCTCTATTCTTTAAACCTCCACCCACACCCTCATTCGTTTATATGTACATATTCGTTTTTCGTTCATTTTTATGTACATTAATTAGGCCGTTAGTTTTCTCGTTTGAATTGTTTTACATTCGTGATTTCGGGGCCTTTTATAGCTGACTATGCGGTATGGGCTTTATTCATTGTTGAAGGTCGTACGGTGACCTATAGTTGTTAATTTCTGTGTCATTTGGTCTCTTGTGAAGAGTTGTCTCATAATGCATAAGCAATCACACCACATCTTCTTTTATATATTAGATAAGAAAAATGGTAAAATAAAATTGAGAATGGAAATCGGAAAATGTGCCATAGAGACAACAATCCGACCAAAGCACAAAACAGCCAAATGCATAGCATAAAACAATAAAATTGAATATGATCTAAATGATAAAATTTTAACATGATATATTGATTAATAATCTACACAAAGTGTACATTTACAGTCATTTCTATTCCATGGCTTTAAAATATTTTTAAACTGACAACAATTTGCAATTTTTCTAAAATCATGATGTAGATCATTCCATAAAACATCAGCTGTATAAATTATTTAAAAGAGTTCTTACCATAGGTTGATGTTGTATGTATTCATCTATTAGTGTTTTTAAGTTTAGAAACTTTAACTCCTTTAAAGGCAACACTTGTACGATCTTGTACATTCTTTAAAAACATGCAGTAGACAATTAACTTTCACTGAGATGTTATGAAAAGTGTAAAAAAAACGCATTTATAAACAGACATTCGCATTGAATAATTTTTCAAGTTTATTGATTGGAGTGAGTACAAAGAATAATATAAACATCTTTAGTTTAATGTAAACAAGCATGCTGTAAATTGTGCAATCTTATAGAGTGCTCCAAAATTTAACGGAGGTTTATACAGAGCTGAACAATAGTCACTATTAGGTTAGTTTCTTTCCCCAGTATACAACTTGCCCAGTAATCGACCAAAACGTGTGAAGGAAAACAATAGCAATCTATTCTTTAGTGTTTATATGTTAAAATGGCCTCTCGTGTGAAAAGAAGGTATCATCACATTAAATTTGACGATGACGAATTTGAAACACCGGCGTTTGAGTTTTTAAACGACAAGGAAAGAAACAAATCTGGCGAAATGAAACATTCTGACGACGACATTCAATTAGAAGATTCAGGGAATGGTAACTTACATTTTCGCACATTTGCAAAACATTTTGTACTTCTGAAATCTGCAAGACGACTAATCGTCAAATTTCCTCAGACAAAAATGGCTGTGTTTACACTCGGGGCGGCACTTCAATCTTTCTTTGGTAGGGGTGAGCAGCTGAGACATCTAGTACCCCACCCTTTTCATATATTTTGTTTATTAAAATTATATACCCTGTCATATATCAATTAACAAAAAACAGACCTATAGATATATTTGGATATTTTTCATCTTCAAATGATCTTCTGGTACATTAGTATAGGGTTTTGTTTTGGGGTCCGGCTCATCATCACGTTCATGTTTAGTAGCAACAAAGTCACAATAATCACACCTTGCTTTTCCAATTAATTCTTCACATTCGTCACATTTTAAATACTTTCCTCTATTTACCCCTTTTATGTCTTTCATTAATCATGATTATGAAGAAAATTTCATTCCAATAAACATGATAAACAATTTTTATAAAATATGTTTGGTCAGATAGTAACACCACAGAGAGTAACACTTTCAGTTTTATATAAGTGAAAAACTGATAAAAAGTTACATAGCCGTTCCCTCTTAAAGGACACTGACACTATGGAATTTCCTTTGATGATTGTTACAAACCTTTGAATGTTAATTATGTGCAAATGTCAAAATATTCGGATTTATAGCATCTATAACTAGCATCAGTGTAAATACCACATTGGATTAATTGGTTTGACAAATAGCCTGGCAGCACCTACATTTTGTAGATAAATAAATGTTACATTTATTTTATGTTTTAAAAAGTTAAAAACCTTTATGGATTTTGATGAACATTTGCTTTCCTTGCCACAGAAGATGGTAAAATAAACAAACACCTGAGTTTTATTTGATACAGTCCACTCATTTACACTATTTGAATCACCTTTGTCAATGTTTGTTGTGTTGATTTCTATTGTCACTCTATTGTCCATTTCAATCAATATGTTGCAATACAATCATTACCTGAGGGGGACCATCTCAAAGATTTCACCAGACTTTGTTTATTTTTACACCACCTGCAGCAAGGAAAGAAAATGTTTAGCTAAATCCACAAAAGTTTTTATTTTTTTAAAACACAAAAATAATAATGAATACAACTTGTACATGTTGTATATATCTTCATTTGTAGGTGCTGCCAGGCTTTAAAACTTTTCAAATTACAGTTTTGTATGTCATGTCTGTACTCAGAGAAAATTTCAGGTGTAAACACAGCCATTTTTGTCAATGTGTAGTGATGAACCTTAAATGGGTATAATCCCTTCTGGGATACTGTGCCCGTCCATCACTTCCCTTTGCCAGACTGCCAAAAGCGATATCTAGTCGCTGTTGTACACGATACTCGCTTTCAGTCGCTTTCAACATCAGCAATATTCAATTTTTACCAAGTCCAAAGGCATAAACCATTTATTTACTTCAGAAAAGAGGTTAAAGCTTTCATTTTAAAGTTGGTTGCATGTTATTTCATGAAGACAATTTTTTTATCACTTCCGGTACTTGTTACTTGAGAGCGTACATCAAATCATTCTAACTTTCAGCAAAATAAGTTTGATACTTCATTAGAACATGATTAAATATGCCTGAAGTAAATTTGTTATCCCTGTATTTCATTAATACATCTTTTCAAATAGCATGTCAAACATCGTTTTTTTTGTGAAATTTTGTATGAAGTACGGATAGGAGTCGGGATTCATCGGACTCTAACCAACTATGACTGAAATCCTGATTCTTGCAATAATGACTACGGACGCATGAATGGCTAGAAGAAGAATTTTGATCTCATAAGGAAAAATTACTTGATTAATGTATTTATTTCCATGTATATGCATTGTTTCAATTTACTAATTGAAGTTGCTCAACGCAGGTATGAATTGAACAATATAAAAAAAATAAGATACATATGGCCCTTTATATTATAGTAAAAACCAAACATTCATGACATTGTAGGGCTCCGTGGGAAATAGTACTTCTCTTTCAAAATCTCACCACTTCTCCCTATCAGTTTCATAAAGAGAAATCACTTCTCCCTACAAATCTGAAGTAATGTAAGCAGTGATCATGTTCATGTAAATTCAGGCAGTACTTTTCAGTACCATAGAACTGTAAAAGTACTGGTTACTGCCTCCTAATGAAAGCCTGCAAATTTATCAAAAGAAAAAAAAAATTATAATTATGCTGATTTCCATTGTGAAACAGCTGTCACAGTGGTAAGTTTCTGAAAGTCTTGAATATTTTGTACAATAGTTTTATTTACATGATAAATATCTTAATTTACAGAGAGTTCAGATGTTGGATTATCTGATGAAGATGATGCCCCAGAGGATGTCAGTTTTAAGACAGGGAAGCAGACAGCATTACAACAGATGAGGGATGCCATCAAGAACATAAATGCTGAGAAAATTAAAACTAAAGAAAAGAGAAGGAAGATAGACGAACAGTTTAAAGAACAAAAGGTATCTCACTGTGGAGATATGGCAATCGTCTAGTTACACTTGGATGTCATTTCACAATTATATTCTTTAATGTTTTTAAATGCACATGCCGCAGCGGAAGGGGCATTTAGTGATACCCTTGTATGTCTGTACGTCTGTATGTAAGCGTACTTTCATTCCGCCATGTATTTATTCCGGGTAACTGTTTTTCACTAGAGAATATTGGATGTAAATACATGTAGTGTGAAAGCGTCGATCTTGATATCATTGTTTTGTTTATATTAGACCGGTTTATTGTTTACATAAATCATTTGTAAATAAATGGGTTAAAATTAGAATGATTTTCAAGGAACCAGTTTAATTAATCTGAGTAAATCCAGTAAATAATATTGATGATGATGATGAGGATAATTTTATAACTCAAAATACTTTATCAATGATCAGGACATTGAACTTGATATAAACCAAATTTAAAGAGCAGATTTGTTCTTGCATACAGTTTCATTTATAGAAGCATCCTTTCATATTGACATAGAAGATATGATTTTATATCTAAGTCGACCGAAAAGCAAATACACAGAAAAACTTCGGCAATCCAATAAATATGATTATTACAATTAGTGACAATTTAAAAGCATATGATTTTATAGATTTGCATCATAGAAAAATTATTTAAATCTTATTCGTTAATAAGCATTACATGTATTGTGTTATCGTGTGTTCAAAATGCGTATTATTCACTTCATCAATGTATGGATCTAAAGCGCTAGTGTAATTAATCCCAGTATAAAATAACTAGTGCAATCATTCCAGTACAAAAACACTAGTGAACATTCCTTTCGATGAAAACTCTCCACTTTTTACATAAATCAATTATGCAAGTTACAAATTCACTAAAAACTACTAAGCCACATTTTATATATATTTCCCCTTCAAAAAAACTCTTTTTAGAACCTTATAATGACTGGTGGATGTTTTACACTGGACCCGGATAGAAAAACCTAGTGAATTTTTGTTGGTGGATAAAAATCACTGGGGATTTCCTTCCTCCGGATAAAGTACACTGGCGGAATCAAACCACTGTTACATGTACGTCCATATAAGACTGCATGTATGTCCCAATATTGTTTTCCGTTCTATCACTATCTACTTAAATTTGCCTGTACAAATTGTTATCAAACTGAATCATTTTTTTTTTAAATATATCTAATTTGGACCGATTTATTAAACCATTTTAAAATTACATTTCTCTGTGAAGCAGATAATTTGTCTGATGCATTCATCAGTCAAGGGTCTAACTTAAATAAGTTATTAGAGAAAAATAACATACATTTGTTATTGAGGGCTAAAAAATCAAAAATCTGTAATAACATATGTTTGTTACATGTTTCAAAGCCGAAAGGGGCATTATACATCCTTAATTTTGTTAAATTGTGTACTAGTTCTATTGATATTATAATTGTCTTTATGTATATTAAACTTTAGAAAGATATAACAGCCCATAGTTTGCCAATCATGCATAACACACCCATGTTACCACAGAAAAAATATGCCTGTAATAACTAAAGGGTGTTATTACAGCTTCTCTACATCTCTTCAAAGCCTTTTCTCCTACATATATCACAATGTATTTTAATTTATTGTAATAAATAATGATAAGAGCATGTAATGAGGTTCTGCGCAAGCTTCCTAGTCATTCCCAAGTGTCTCATGTAATAAGTTAAATGCCTGTAATAACTAAGCCTTGTTATCACTTAAAAGCCTTGTCTCATTGATTTACCATGGTTGATCAAAAGTGTATTAATTGAATTGGAAAATTAGTTTTCAAGGTTATGTATTAAGGTACTGCGCAAGTTTCAAGAATTCCTAAGTGCCCACTGAAAATAAAAAAAATTATGGTACATTTAACTGATAACAAACATATGTTACTACAGATTAAGAGAAAGTATCTGTAATAACACATGTATGTTATTTTTCTCTAATAACTTATTCAAGTTACACTCTTGACTGTTCATAATACATTCATTTGTAGAAAAGAAAGATGGAAGAACTAAAGAATGCAAGATTACCTGAGGATTTCCTGGAAGGAATAGCAGAAAAGTTACCCAGTAGAACAAACAAGACTACTGAGAAAACCAATTCTAAATCTGATATTATAGAGAGAACAAGTTTACAGGAAGATGGTAACAGTTTATTGTTTATCATAAACCTGATTACAATTAATGATATAACAAATACCTGATAATGCTTATATACCATTTGCTATAAGGATTTAAAATTACAAATGCCAAAATTTAACACAACTGTATTATATACTTTAGTCAAAGATGTTAGTTACATTCTAGTTGCTACTATTTGTTCTTAAATAGCAAGTTTTACATTTTCTATTTGATCCTACTGCCTAAAAATATTTTCTTAGATCAAGGACAGGGGGTGATACCCGAAAATATTGGGCAATGACGTCAAGTGAATTGCAGTATTGTCATGTTTTTAGCTCAATCCGCATGATATGCATGCTCCCTTTTTCATTCATGCTAGTATCTATCATGACTCTATCACAATACTTTGTACGAGTAAAAATAAAAAAGATGTAGTTTTATTAACTACTGCATGTTATTTCATATTCTAAACCCCTCTAAAAAAATAATAGTTAAGAAAAATTGCTGATAAAAAGAATATATTTGCAATTATTTTTTAGATACTTGCTTCATCAGTTCAAATATCAGCACGCCCTACCAAACTTGCTTGGTATTCTTGGTGATAAAGTCAGTATCAAAAACAAAATGCCAATATCTTTTATTCATATTACTACACAATAGAGTCAACATTCACTCCGTAGAAGCATATTCATAAAAAAAATCATTTTTTCATGAAATAAACAGTAGGATAAGTCTGAGTAAATAAGTGCTGATGCTAGTATTAACAGACTATACAGGAATCTGATGTTTAGTAGTTGTCGTTTGTTGATGTGGTTCATAAGTGTTTCTCGTTTCTCGTTTTTTATATAGATTAGACCGTTGGTTTTCCTGTTTGAATGGTTTTACACATGTCATTTTTGGGGCCCTTTATAGCTTGCTGTTTGGTGTGAGCCAAGGCTCCGTGTTGAAGACCGTACTTTGACCTATAATGGTTTACTTTTAGTTTTACAAATTGTGACTTGGATGAGAGAGTTGTCTCATTGGCACTCATACCACATCTTTTTATATCTATAAATTAATCGTCTGACTGATTTTAGTTTTGATTATGTCTTTACATTGTACAGTAAATCAATGATTTTAGAATGTAGCTTAAGGGACCTTACTTTTCAAATAACTCTAAAATTTGTTTTAACCATTTACTTTAATATACTGTAAATTCAGAAAGTACAAGTTATTATTAATGTGAATAATGCAACTGGGTGAGTATGGCAATAATAAGCATGACAAGATCTGGCATTCTGACAGCAATGTCTGATATCCAATACACTATATAACTATATGCAGATTTATTCTGAAATCACAATTATTTATATCCCATTATTGTCCTTTATTTAAAAATTGCAATAATAAATGCACCTAATAGTTTCTGAATTTACAGTTTATATGTATGTAAAGCTTTTAATAACATAGATTGATGAACTCTTGAACAGCATTAATGACACCGTCTATTAATAACACCTTACCTCATTTACAGAGTAAACTCCCTAAAATAATGTCCTCTGCACGCCCTCCCTTAAAGTTGCTGAATGCTTTAATGGACATTTACTACAGTATTAGTAGACATTAGGTGGACAGTTTTTATAGGCCCGTCAAATTTTTGACGGGACGTATTATGGTATACAAATGTCCGGCGTCCGTCCATCTGTCCGTCTGTCCGTTTGTCTGTCTGGCGTAAACATGTCGCACCGTAATTTGAGAATGACTTATCTAAATTTAATGAAACTTAATACAGTTGTTTCTTATGATGGTGAAACGATCTGTATACTTTTTGGTGAAAATAAGATTAAAACTTTTTGAGTTACGGGACTTAGTAACTAAAACAGGTGTGTGTTTTTTTTCACATGTCGCGCCGTATCTCAAAAACAATTTATGATTATTGCTTAAAACTTTACACACTTCTTAGTTATATTAATCTTAAGATCTGTATACTTTTTGGTGATGATTCAAAATTTTATTTTAGTGATATTGAGTATTTTGTTAAAAAAGGGGGAGGGGTTTTTCACATGTCGCGCCGTATCTCAAAAACAGTTTATGATTATTGCTTAAAACTTTACACACTTCTTAGTTACATTAACCTTAAGATCTGTATAATTTTTGGTGATGATTCAAAATTTTATTTTTGAGTTATTGTGTATTTTGTAAAAAAAGGGGGAGGGGTTTTTCACATGTCGCACCGTATCTCAAAAACGATTTATGATTATTGCTTAAATTTTACACACTTCTTAGTTATATTAATCTAAAGATCTGTATACTTTTTGGTTTTGATTCAAAATTTTATTTTTGAGATATTGATTTTTTTTTTTTTTAAAAGGGGGGTTTTCACATGTCACGCCGTATCTCAAAAAAGATTTATGATTATTGCTTAAAATTTTACACACTTCTTAGTTATATTAATCTAAAGATCTGTATACTTTGTGGTTTTGATTCAAAATTTTATTTTAGAGATATTGAGTTTTTTGTAAAAAAAAAGGGGGGTTTTCGCATGTCACGCCGTATGTCAAAAACTATTTATGCTTATTGCATAAAAATTCACACACAAGACGACGGGCGTATCATGCGCTCATGGCGCAGCTGTTTTTTTATTTAAATGGTAAGGCAGCAGTTTATGTACTTTTAACTTAGCCAGGCATCTTTAGTTAAAAGACATTAAGTTACATTGCTTTTAATTTATTTTAATAGAGGATGAAGGTAGTTTCGCTGATACAGAAGATGATTTTGATCATAACCAAGACTTTATACCTTTTGAATCAAGCAGGTTGGTAGTCTATGATTATTGAAAAGGGACTTACCTTAAAAAAAAAAATGGCAGTCAGGTCTTTCATCATATAATTATCCATCATCTTCAGTTAAAATCACTAAGTCAATTAAATGTATTCATAACAACTTATCTGTGTCCTTCATTTATTTTCAAATTGTTAAGAGATTTATGATGAAGATGACATCAGTAAACGTCCCGTATGTTCACATTGATTATGTTATATAGATACAATGCATAAGCGTTGATACTTGAAAAAGAAACCATGAGCCTAGAGAGTGAATGTTTTGTTTTTCATAAATCAATGCTTATCCATTGTATCTATAACTGAAACTATTGTGTTAATGTCTTTTCAAAATTTAAGCCTTTTCTTAATTAAAAGGTATTGTAAGAGAGTTAAATAACCATGTTATCATGTTCAACGATGCATTTATAAATCTAAGATCACAATTAATTGGTTAGAAAAATACAAATATAAAACATTGCGTCTGCTTTTAAATTATCAGGCTTCCAAATATTATCTGTGTTTACAAAATAAGACATATTTGAAATTGTTTTTTTAATAAAATTAAGAATGAAAATGGGGAATGTGTAAAAGAGACAACAACCTGGCCAAAGAGCATATATAAAGTATATATAATAAGTATGTTACCAAAATTTCTAGCAAGAAGCCTAATTCTAGGCACATCACGATATACTGGCATAGGAATTTGCGAATTAACATTTGTAAAATTATGTAGTAGAACAGTCAAATCAAACTATATTTATAAAACAAAAATGGACTAATAGAATGTAATCATTTTCGTTTCAAATATGTGAAATAGCCAATAATAATCCAAAAATAAATGTCAAAACTCGCTATTATTACAAAATATCCACAAAATAAGAAAACAAAACAGGAAAACTAAAGAATAGGGAAAACAAAGAGAACACAGGGATTCAAACCTAAACCAACAAGTCCCAACCTTTCACTCGTTGATCTTAACCATGCTAACCTTGCGGCTACCAACTTATACTATATGATTGGCTATTATGTATATATTAAGGTACAAGCCCTGTGTGTCCCTTGTACCGATGTATATCATATGCTCATTTATATATATATTTATATAAAATGACAGGGTTCTATTCATTTGGGAGGGATGTATAAGTACGCAGTCATGTTCAATTATTTTATCTTAGTCAAAATTTATTATAATTTTTTTAATCATTATCAAACTGCTATCTATTTGGGATGTTTAAATACGCAGCCTCTGTTTTAATTACTCTACCGTTGTCAAATTTGAAATATCGTACTGGCTTGGATCGGTCAGTGCTGTTTATTGGGAATGTATTTCCACGCAATCCTTGTTGTAGCATCTTAACTGTCATCACCTTTGAAATTTTAGAGTTGTACCGGTTCATATCGCACATTACTATTTTTATTTGAAGCATATCTTTGCAGTCTCTGTTGTAAGTAGGTTCAGTAGTTGTCGTTTGTTGATGTGGTTCATAAGTGTTTCTCGTTTTTTTATATAGATTAGACCGTTGGTTTTCCCGTTTGAATGGTTTTACACTAGTAATTTTTGGGGCCCTTTATAGCTTACTGTTCGATGTGAGCCAAGGCTCCGTGTTGAAGACCATACTGTGACCAATAATGGTTTACTTTTATAAATTTTTACTTGGATGAAGAGTTGTCTCATTGGCACTCATACCACATCTTCTTATATCTACATAACCTCAGTCATGTTTAAAAATTTTAGAATTGTACAAGCATCTCTATGATGGTCAGTTTTGACTGTTTTATTGTATAAATTTCAAGATTGTTATAGTTTTATAATCAGACTAGATTGATATGGTTCATTTTGCATCGTGATCATACTGATGAAGGATATCTGTTATCCGAAATATTTAACATTTGTTTCTTATTATTATTAGTTTTTGGTGATGTTGTACCCTTTTAGACTTTTTATACATTTGTATATATAAAATAGACATTGAAATTGTAACCCATCAGTAGTTGAGAGATTTTGTCGATATGTTGATGTCAGTCACACATAACAGATTTGAAGGACGGCTCCGATTCCCAATGAAGGCATATAATAATTACAAAAATTGAAGGTTAAGTTTTTAAATTAATTCCATTAGTGAACAGAAATCAGTAAACTAACTAATTCACACTTAATGAAATTATGCACACAAAGGAAACAATTGAATATAATTTGGTAAGTCCATTTCAGTGACAGATTTAGGAAGCGTTGTTTCTAGAAAAAGAATCCACAAAATGAATAGGCTGACCTCACGACAACAGTTTAATGATGAACAATCTTTTATCATCATTTTTAAGGGTGTATTTATTTGACATATTGTGTACTTCTATCACATCTCCTTTGATTATTTGTTAGGTCTGATGGAGTAGAGGTACAGCCCATCAAAGAATATCAGAAGAAGACCACGTCATTGGCCCTTACAGCTGCTGAGTTTAAATACAGACAATTGTATGGCAGTAGAATACACAGAGAATCAAGTAAGTCCCACTTTCGGATGTTATGACCTGGAATAACCTGCGTTCGTATTTCTCTGGCTTTTTCATTCCTTTCAATAGAAATAAATAAACAATTGCCGATCATTTGAAAACTTTGGTCAGTAGTTTTTATGTTCGATATATAAGTAATCAAAATTCAGTTCTGCTATGTGAACTCCAACAAGATAGAGGTCTTTGTCTGGACCAAGAGGCAGTGTAAAAATGAAGAAATAGATAATTGCAAATTGAAAAGTCAAGCAGATTTGAATGAAAGATTTTCAGTGTTTACGACCGAGTTCACTTGGCAATGATTCAAGAATGAATCTTTTTGCACACCATGTTCAATCAACTTTTCGATTTCTTCTGGTGGTCTGTTAGATCTTTGAAAGCATGCTTAGTGTGAGACTCACAACAAAATCAAACTATGAAATTTTATGAGTTGTGAGATACGGAGGTATTGAAAAAGGCTTAAAAAAACACCTTGTATAGATTATAATCATGTATATCTCTTATTGGTGTTTTGTAGATGAATACGTAAACAGGTCATATATTTTACTTGAAAATGTCATTTGCGCAAAATCTCCCCCTCAATGAAAGCTGAGGGGGAGATCTCCCTCTTTGATGGTTTCAGAGGTTGGCAGGTATGCTTTTGTCAGCCTTCAAAGATTTACTAGAAACTTTACATAATTGGTTAAAGTACGATAACACTCGATTTTGAAATTTCACCATTTTGTCATTGCAGAGTTCTTGCACTTTGATTGTCAGATTAATAGAAGGCAATTTTGGTCTCACCTGTGATGAAAGTCATAGAATGTGAGACATTGTAAGGATAACAATCTGGCGTTAGCAACAGCCTAAACGTTTTGCATAAAGTTGTATAATTATGTATATATATTTTTATAGGCAAATCAAAAATGGCAAAAAGGGAGAAAAAGAAAGCAAATAGATGATGTTGAAAAAGGATATATATAAACACGAAGAAAGAAGAAGCAGTACAGCTCCAAGACTGATGACAACAGAGGGTACTGGAGTTTGACATTGACACAAATTCAGATTTTCTCTCATTTGCATAAATGCAATTATGATTCTTAAGTTAATGTTAAAATGTATAATATGATAAACTTTGAAACCATTCACCTGTAAATAATGATAGTATAATTGTGAATAAATAATGTTGTAATATCATGAATTGTTACTGTAAATAGTTATCAAAGGTACCAAGCTTATAATTTGATACGCCAGACGTGCGCGTAGTGCTACTAGTGATTATCTTGAAGAAAGTTTTGTTTTGACCAAAAGAAGATCAAAAGATGAACACTTCCTATATTAAAATAATAAGACGTGGTATGATTGCCAATGAGACAACTCTCCACAAGAGACAAGATGACACAGAAATTTACAACTATAGGTAACCGTACAGCCTTCAACAATGAGCAAACCACATACTGCATGGTCAGCTATAAAAGGCCCCGAAATGGAAAATGGAAAACAATTCAAATGAGAAAACTAACGGCCTAATTTATGTACATAATTAATGAACGAAATACAAATATGGTGCACAGCAACAAACGACAACCACTGAATTACAGGCTCCTGACTAGGAACAGGCACATACTATATCTGTCAATCTGATTATCTGTCTGTCCCCCTTTTGTATCTGGTACTGCTCCTGGACTGCTTGACAGATTTTTGTAGAAACTTTTACAGAATCTAACTCGTATGATTTATGCTTGCAACTGCTATTTCATTTCCTGATCAGAATGATTTTTGGGATAATCTTTGGCATGACATTGACATTGTTAGTTCTTCAGACTACAGTACACATTTATATCAGCTTCTTCTAAAATACTAATGAGAATTTAATGACAGCTTTTAAATCTTCATCATATGATGCCCTTGTGCACCTATTATTTGTATTAATTCAAACTATAGTTGGGGTTTCTTTTTGCAAATCAAAGATTTTGCCATTGTTTTATTGTGGGGCGGAGGTATCAAGTTTTGTATCCAGTACTTCAAAGTGAAGAATAATTATACCATCACATTTAAAGAATCACCCTTTCTTATTGTCTTTCTTACCAAATTCCATCTAGGTTGGACTCTCTTAAACAGATAGATGAATATAGATGAAACTTAAAGAAAACTTTGTGAGGATGTGAATAAAGAGATATTATCCCCTGCCCAATATGTTAAGGAGAGAGAGTTGGATTGTATAAATGGTACTGTCATATCAGGTTATCCTTTTGTGATGGGTTCACTTAAAGATTGTGTTATTTTATGTTTACTATCAAAATGATGCACCACTCATGTCATTTGTCGTTAAAAAAAAATCTTTGGAGCCTCCAACATTACTGAACCAATTAAATCCAAACTTCACATTATTGAACATGTCTCGTTTCTAGATTTTGAATTATATCTTGGTACTTTAACCAACATGGCCATCATAGCTAGAAATTAATCAGAGGTAAATTGCAGATTGTGCTTCAATATCTATTAAATCATCATTAAAATGGAAATCTCAGTGGGTGAAACATCTACAATTTCTACAAAAAAAAATATCAGATGACTCCTTCATAGCTGCCAACCTCTACAATGTATATGAGGGAAATCTCAGTTTGAAAAATTAATATAGCTGGACGGAAGAAAATTTTGTGTGACAACATTTTTCTGTTAAAAACTAACACAATGAATAGTACCGGTATTCTATAATTTATTTGATATTCTATGAGAAGGATTCCAGATATAGATGACAGTTTAACTAAAATCCTGTCCCCTTTTCCCCCAAAAGTGACCAACCTAATTATACTTATCACAGGGTTTGTACTAATATGATTAACACGACGGGTGCCACATGTGGATAAAGGATCTTCTTATCCTTAGATTTTATTGGGGTTTGTGTTGCTCAGTCTTTAGTTTTCTATGTTGTGTTTTGTGTACTGTTGTTTGTCTTTTTCTTTTTTAGCCATAGCGTTGTCAGTTTATTTTCAACTTATGAGTTTGTATGTTCCTTTGGTATCTTCACTTAATCATGTATTGCCTTTCATCTTATTTTTCTTTTTATTTCCCTACAGACAGTTCAAGTTTGTTTTTAGTGCATTTGTGTATACCCATAGCATACAACATTCTGGCTATTCCCTATATAATTATCTTGCAACTACAAAAATAAATATAGATGGTTTGGTCAATCACTTTCGAACTTAACTACAAAATAAAAATAGGCACTGGCTACGGTTACATTGAAATGTAACAATAATAAAAAAAGTTATTGTTACATTGGAGACTAATTGCCGGAATGCAGGGCTGTGTAAGGAACCGATTAAATACGAATGTAACAATAATATTTGTGTCTACGGTTAAAATTGTGTTATTGTTACGTTAATGCACTTCAGTGTACATGTATGCTGAGACTAATAAACTTTAAAATTTTTATTTGTATTTTACATTATTACATATAATTTTTTTAATTTTTTATTTACAATTGCAGTTTCTACACATCAAGCATGTTGTTTGGGGAGCATGTTTCAGTCCTACGCATTTTTGGTGAAAATACTCTAGGCAGCCATCACAACCGAGTGATGCAGCAATGTGCAATTCGGTTTTGCAGACTTTACAATTCCACTCTTCAATATCCCTTTTTGAAGTTATAGACACTTTCAATGTCTGCCATGCTTCAGTTGACAAATTTTTATGCCCCCGCCGTTGCGGTGGGGGCATTAAGTTTTACCCTTGTCCGTCTGTACGTACGTACGTACGTACGTACGTCCGTCCGTACGTCCCAAAATTGGTTTCCGTTCTCTAACTTGAATTTGCCTCAACCAAATGTTATGAAACTTATACACAATGCTTATTACCACAAAACACAGATCAAGTTTGAATTTTGGTGGCGTCACTTTAACCGTTCTAGAGTTATGCCCCTTTATAAATGGAAAAATTGCAAAATTTTTAGTTTCCGTTCTCTAACTTAAGTTTGCCTCAACCAAATGTTATGAAACTTATACACAAGGCTTATTACCACAAAACACAGATCAAGTTTGAATTTTGGTGGCGTCACTTTAACCGTTCTAGAGTTATGCCCCTTTATAAATGGAAAAATTGCAAAATTTTTAGTTTCCGTCCTCTAACTTAAGTTTGCCTCAACCAAATGTTATGAAACTTATATACAATGCTTATTATCACAAAACACAGATCAAGTTTGAATTTTGGTGGCGTCACTTTAACCGTTCTAGAGTTATGCCCCTTTATAAATGGAAAAAATTGCAAAATTTTTATTTTCTTCTAAATATCAAGTTATTTTTAAAATTGGAGTTATCTTCCTTTGTCCATGATTATAGTTTAATCAACTACAAACAATGCTGTATACAATGCAATGTTTAATTTTGACTTCCACTGATAAAACACAGATCAAGTTGAATTTGGGTAGTGTCACTTTAACCATTATTGAGTTATGCCCCTTTATAAATAGAAAAATTGCTGAATTTTTAGTTTCTGTTCTCTACTAAAGTTAGCCTCAACCAAATATTATGAGACTTGCACACAAAACTCAGATCAAGTTCAAATTTGGGTAGCGTCACTTTTACTGTTCTTCAGTTATGTCCCTTTATAACTATATGATATGCAAGCGGGGGCATCATCTGTGTCCACATGTGGACACTATCCACATTTATTTTTTTACTTTCGTGATGTTCATATTTTCGTCCAATATTTTTGTTGGAAACATGTGAGGTTGATTCATGTTTTCTTTTAATATATTTGCATCCCAAGTTTAAATTTTTCACCCAAAACAAATTTGGTAATAGGAATCACTTCATCCATTGTTCACAGTATAATAAGGGTAGGTGTGCAGTTAAATACATAGACGTGAACACTCGAACCATTGAACTAAATTTTTCGCCTTTGGCACTACTAAACTGTTGTAACAAATATTCTATACCCTTTATTCCCGAAGGAACAAATACTGTAATAATAATAATAATAATAATAATAATAATAATAATAATAATATTATTATTATTATTATTATTATTATAATAATAATAATAATAATAATAATAATAATAATAATAATAATAATAATAATAATAATAATAATATTATTATTATTATTATTATTATTATTATTATTATTATTATTATTATTATTATTATTATTATTATTATTATTATTATTACATATCGAAGAATAAAGCAACAAAATAATAGAAGGTTCAAGTTTAATTAATCTAACATGACAATAACACAATGTAACCGTAGACACGAATATTATTGTTACATTCGTAATTAATCAGTTCCCTACCCAACCCTGCATTCCGGCAATTAGTCTCCAATGTAACAATAACTTTTTTAATTGTTACATTTCAATATAACCGTAGCCAGTGCCATAAATAGAAGTAAATTATATTCATTTCATTTTTCGGCTCGATCTGGTTTACAACATGTATTTGTTTACATTCTAAATGGGGGTATAATATAAAAAAGAACAAGTGGTATAATTGCCAGGGAAACAACTCTCCACTTGAGACCAAATGACTCAGAAATTAACAACTATAGGTCACCGTACAAGAATGAGCAAAGCCCATACCGCATAGTCAGCTATAAAAGGCCCCTTCATGACAAATGTAAAACAATTCAAACGAGAAAACTAACGGCTTAATTTATATACAAAAAAGAACTGAACGAAAAACAAATATGTAACACAGCAACAAACGACAACCACTGAATTACAGGCTCCTGACTTTGGACAGGCACATACATACAGAATGAGGCGGGGTTAAACATGTTAGCGGGATCCCAACCCTCCCCCTAACCTTGGACAGTGGTGTAACAGTAAAACATAAGAACGAACTATAAAAATCAGTTTAAAAAGACTTAACTCATCAGATGGATACAAATAGAAATACATCTAACAAAAACACAGAGTGGATGTGGCCTAGTACTTGTACATCCCAACAACAAAAAGACACTGATACAAATACATCTAACAAAAACACAGAGTGGAGGTGGCCTGGTACTTGTATATCCCAACAACAAAGAGACACGAAGTAAAGATCGGAGCTTAAAATTATTAGTTGTGTTTTATTTTCTTTTATTGTGAATTATGTGAGGTATATCATCTTTTATTTTTTTAATTTGCAGATGGAATTGTGGGACAATGTGTCAAATTTGTATGAAGGACAACTCTGTCTATT